TAAAGCTTCAAGGTTGGGATAATCAGTTTCTCAACAAGCTAAAAAGATTGTCTAGATGAATCGGTGAACCTAGATGAATCGACAAACCTAGATGAAACTCTAAAGTCTAAACCCAACACCAAGATGACTCGGTGAACCTAGATGAAGCTCTAAAGTCTAAACCCAACACCAAGATGAATCGGTGAACCTAGAATCACAAACCCGTCGAATTAAAATAAGAGAAAATGCAAAAGTGAAATCGCAAAAGGAGAATAAATATAAAATTACCTCGGATCGTGGCACGGAGAAGCGTGGTTGTGACTCGGTCTGTTAGATTTAAGCTTTGGGCGAGAGACGGAGAGAGCAAGAGGAGAAAAAGATAGACGGTTTTAATTTTTAGGATTTGATTTTTTCCCAAATACTAACCCTAGATATTTTTAAGATTTGGGCGGCCCATGTCCATATGGTTTTGTTCATTGGGCTTTGGACGTATATGAGCTTGGTTTATTTGGTAAAAAGATATTCTGGACAAATTTGGGCGTGATCATATTAGTCCGTATCGATTTGGACATGGACCACCCATTGATAGTGTGTCAATCCCTACTAAAATATCATTGAAAATAGATAAGATATGAGTTATGGTAAAATCACATTTACAATTTTTAGATTGTCACTCACTAACACTTTAAACCTTTAAAATTTTTTATTATCACTTTAAACACAAAACTTGACATTTGTATTATAAAAAACTTTTGACTTGACTTATTTATTCATCAAATCAAAAATGTGAGTGAAACTATTTATTTACAGATAAAAAGTGATGATGTGTCAGTTTTTTAAATAAATAATAAAAAGTAAGTAAAAATAAATAAAATCAGAAAATTAAACAAAATTTTAAATAATAGATTTTTAATTCATACTTTTTAAAAATTATTTTACATGTTTATATAATTTTATTTTTCTAAAACTAAAGAAATTATTCAAATAATATTTTTTTTTCTAAATTGAAAAAAAATTCAGAGAATTAAAATTCTATTTTTTGTGTTAAAAATTAAGTAAATTATTAAAATTAGAATATTCCAAAATAAAATTCCAACCTTAAGAAATTTTAAAATTTTAAACATTCAAGTAATTTGAATTTTTGAAAACTTGTAAACTTTGATTTGTTAAACAATAAACTTTCTAAATGTCTGAATTTTTATTTTTAAGTATTATAATTTTAATGAATTACTTTATTTATTTTTTAAATGAAATTTGAATTTCCTTAAACTTTCGAAAATTTATAAATATATATTTTTTAGTTTTATGAAGATTAAATTTTAATTATTTGAACACGTAAACAACATTTTTAGATTTTTTTCTAGTTTTTATTTTATTTTTTCTTATTTATTTAGTATCTTTTAATCAGAAAACTGACATCATTTTTTTATCAGTAAATGAATGGTTCCAATCACATTTTAACTTGACCAATACGTAAAAGTTAAGGTGAAGATTATTTATGATAGGAGTTTAAACGTCAGTCAAAAAATTTAAAAGTTGTTTTACCGAACGTTGAGGTTTTATGCGAATTATATATTTTCTTCGGATTTTGGATTCAACTACAAACTAGATTTTGACCCGCGCAACCTCGCGAGTGTTTGTTTTCTTTTATAATTAATTATATTAACATTTTGTTTTTACTTGTAAATTGATATATATTATAGTAATCACATATTTACGATATGTATAGTAAATGTTTTTCAAACATAATAATATTATATAATACGTGTTTTAATCAATAGATTGTTTCAAATTTTTTTATATTATACATGTTTTTCAAACATGTGTTTGTTTCTTTTTCTATATTTTATTGTTTGTTAGATTCGTATTTCATTTTTAGACAAAGTAATATAAATAGAGATTGATTAAATATTAGTATACTTTAATTTGCAAAGTTACTATAAACTTCGAAGAATTTTTTTCTAAAAACTAAACTTATAGTTTCATAAATTAATATTATACATAATTTTATTAAAAAAGAATTTTTTAAACAATTTATTTTTCTAAACAATATATTTGCGCAAATTTACATCGAAATAAATTTATCTAGTATATATAGCGTGTAAATTTTGTTAGGGTATACAAATATTCCATATTACGAATTTGTAATTTTTTGTTAATATATTGTGGATGCATTTGACTATTATTGACATATTTCCTTATAAATAATATAAGATTCCTAAACTTATATCTATTGACATATTTTGCGTGACTAAGTTGGAAGGTGTGTGGTAATTTACCAAAACTAAATTGTTAAACGTATCTTAGTTATTATAGATATAATTTTTCATAAGGTATAATAAAGATAAAATTATTAAGGGAGTTAATGTAACATGACTTTTTAGTAATAGTCTATTTTTTAAAAAAATCATACATGAATTCAAGTCATGACTTCTGTTTTAATATATAAGACTAGCTTTTTACCCGCCCTTTTAAAGGGCGGGTATATTTTTGGGTTTAATTTTTTAAAAAAGAAATTAATTTCTGTATTTATGTTTAATATTAATTTAATTTAATGTAATTTTTTGTAATTCTATTAAATATCTCAAGTTGAAAGAACTGTTTATGTTTAATTTAATTTATTGTTTATTTTTTCTATTTCTTTTTTGTAATTCTGTATTTATGTTTAATATTAATTTAATTTAATGTAATTTTTTGTAATTCTATTAAATATTCTCAAGTTGAAAGATAACTGTTTATGTTAATTAATATGTTAGGAAAAAATAACTAATTCTTTTATTGAAAGATATACTTCAAATATTGAATGGGGTTAAAAATTGTGATATATTTAGATGCAGTTATAAAAGATCAAGTTATTTTTATTAGTTTTTTACGTAGGTCATGCGGAAAAAATTGTTGAACTAATCATTTATCAATTGTTCATGATCTGATTTAATGGAATAGATTGGTTATAGAATTTTCTTTTTCTTGTTTTGGTCAAAGCACAGTATATTATTTGTTGATCATTTCTACAAAAAAAATGAACAATGTTATGGTTTTAGATACAACATCTTTTGGAACCAAGCTATTACCACTGAGATTATATATAATTTTGAACATCAATGTAGCAAAACAATTTGAATGGGTATTCACTGATATTATATACTCCTTCCGTTTCATTTTAATTACCATTCTAGGTTTTTACACACAGATTAAGGAAATATTTAATTTTATATATTTTCAAAACAAAAACACAATTACCTATATACCTAACCACTTTTCAACCAATAGAAAAATATAATATCATATAAAATTAATAAATTTTGCCGCGAAACTCTAAAACGACACTTATTTTGAAACGAAATTTTCTCTCTAGAATTACAATTAATTCGAAATGGAGGGAGTATAATTTTGGACATCAATGTAGCAAATCCATATTTTGGATGTGATACCCATTTTTTAAAAAGTACTCATCTAACTGACACAATATAAGTAACTGAACTTGATGACATACCCATTAATTATATTTTTTAGTTACTACTCCATCCGTTTCAATTTAATTGTCATTCTAGAGTTTTGCACACAGATTAAGAAAACAATTAATTTTACATATTTTCAAAATAAAATTACAATTACCTATACACCTAACCACTTTTCACGACACTTATTTTGAAACGAAAAATTTACTCTAGAATGACATATAATTTGAAACGGAAGGAATATCGATTTAGTCAACATGATCCAAATTAGTATTTACCTAAAAGCCTGTTACTCATACATTTTAGTCCAACTACTTTCATCTTATTTTGTTTTCTCGGTTCGAGAGAAAAAAAATGAATACAATATATTTCTGTAAGTTTCTGATAAATATAGCTATATATTTAGTTAGGAAAGAGGTTTATTAATATTTATTATCATGGCCTGGCTGTTCAAAAAAAAAAAAAAATCATGGCCTGTTGGAAGTTGGGCCAATTTGATACTCCCTCTGTTTCAATATAAGTGTCACTCTATAGCTGTGCACACAGATTAAGAAAACATTAATTTTTACATATTTCCTATATAAAAACACAATTACCTATACACCTAACCACATTTTAACCAATAGAAAAATAAATTACATAATAAAATTAATAAATTTTGCATTGAAAACCGAAAACGACACTTATTTTGTAACGAAAAAAAATCCCTACAACGACACTTAATATGAAACGGAGGGAGTAACTGTGTAGAGTTTTTGCTTTTCTTTTTTTTGTTTGAGTGACATTCTTATAATATTTTCCATCGTCTCCATAGATATTTTAGAATTCGCTGCAACATATCAATGGTCGCCATGCTTCCATAATTGATTATTTTTTGCGTTTTTCTTGTTGCTTATGCCTTGAACCTGTAATCTATTACAAAACATCTGATTGCAACCTTTTAAAACCCGAAAAATTAGTAACTTTAAAATTTTCGATTTATAATCCGATTATGACAATCAACACAGTGAACCAATGTAATCGCAAGAGAATCATCACCACTGACGCGTTTTTGATGAGGTATAAAAGCTAAATCAACGAATCGAATTTTGTTGTATATGAAAAAAAAGTAACTGATTTTGTTATATACAAAGAGAACGTGGTTAAAAAAAAGAACGTCATTAATCTTTTGATTTTTAAAAAAGTAGATTGATTGGTACAACATGTGATATGTGGCCAGAGATTTTAGTAGATTTGGTGGTCATTTTTCCATTTCCTAAATTATCTTCTTAGAGATTAAGTTTTTAAGGCAAAATTAATGGCACAAAAAGTAATATTCCAAGGATATCTAAGGGTAAATCCATAAAAGGGATCCTGATTTAATAGTATTGATATATTAGATACCCAGGCCTCGTTGGCTCGATCAACCCGTGTACATAAAAAGCCCAATTGAAATCCGGCCCAACACTACTGTAATCATCCCGCCAAAAAGGGAACAGGTCATCTCTTAATTTCCCGCCACAACAACACTATACCCTCCCTTTATGCCTTAGGGTATCAGTCAGTCAATCACTCCTCCGACCTCAAAGGAAGAAGAAGAAAGAACACGAAAAAGAGATTAACGTAAGAAATGGATGTGCCGGAGGAGACGAGGCTTCGCCACAAGCGAGATTTCATCCAGTTCCTCGAAAACGTAACTCCATCTCTCTTTCTCTATCTCACGAGACATCTCAATCTTTTGTTCGTATTAACTGTGAGTTTTTGTTTTGTTTTTGTAGATCTACATGGATGAAATCAAGGCGCTGGTTCAGAACAAGCGTCACCGTTTGATTGTGAATGTATCTGACATTCATACACACTTCCGCGAATCTGAATCTTCCTCTAGGTTCCTCTCCTCTTCTCTATCTCTCTTTACTATTTTCGCCTACTTCATTCTTAGTAGTAGAAGTGTAAATCAATTTCGTTTAGGTTTATCGATTTTTGGGATTTTTAGGGTTTTGTCGATTTTGGGGATTTCATCGGAATCTAATTACTAAGAGATTAGGAGATTAGTTTTCTCATATTCCTGAAGTTTTAGCGTTTTGTCGATTTGGGATAAGATTATGCCCTAGGAATCAGAATGGATGATAATTTTTCTTGCCTCAGTCAACTGTTTTTTTTTCTGAATTGAAGTTGATTCCCTTTTTTTTGTGTGTGTAGGATATTGAAGAATCCAATTGAGTATATGCAATCATTTTGCGACGCAGCCACTGAAGCTACACGCAACATTGACCCTAAATACTTGAAGGAAGATGAGCAGGTCCTTGTTGGATTTGAAGGTCATTTTGTCTCTCGCCGTGTCACACCTAGAGAGCTCCTCTCTGAGTTTATTGGATCTTTGGTCTGTGTTGAGGGCATTGTCACCAAATGTAAGCCCTCTTCTTTTTTTTTTCCTTGAAGAGTTTAGGTCACTGATGCTTTTTTTTTTTTTTGCTTTCAGGCTCTCTTGTGAGGCCGAAGGTTGTTAAAAGTGTACACTTTTGTCCATCTACCGGTGAATTTACCAATCGAGACTATCGAGACATCACGTCCCATGCGGGTTTACCCACTGGCTCTGTCTATCCCACTAGGGTAATTACTACTTTAATCTGATGCTGTTCATTTACCTTGTTATTGCTGGAAGATTTGCATGTTACTGAATTTTTGCTTTTTCAGGATGATAATGGCAACTTATTGGTGACTGAGTATGGTCTGTGCAAGTACAAAGATCACCAGACCTTGTCGATTCAAGAAGTGCCTGAAAACGCCGCTCCTGGTCAGCTTCCTCGAAGTGTTGATGTCATTGCTGAGGATGACTTGGTTGACTCATGTAAGCCAGGAGATCGTGTGGCTATTGTCGGCATTTACAAAGCTCTTCCAGGCAAAAGCAAGGGTAGCGTAAATGGTGTCTTTAGGTGAGTGTTTTCTAACAACCTCTTAAATTCAGATATGTTAGTTTTTCACTGTGATAATCCTGACCGATTTTTATCTGTGTAGGACTATCCTCATAGCCAATAATATCTCCCTGCTCAACAAAGAAGCAAATGCACCTATATACACCCCACGAGACCTACAGGAGATTAAGAAGATTGCAGCAAGAGATGATGCATTTGACCTTCTTTCTCGTTCCTTGGCACCTTCTATTTATGGTCACGCTTGGATAAAGAAAGCAGTGATACTACTGATGCTTGGCGGTATGGAAAAGAACCTCAAGAACGGAACCCACTTAAGAGGGTAAGTTCATGCTTAGAGACAATTTCAGTTTCGGTTCATTGATATGACTGTTTCTAAATTTCTGTGAATCAAAATTTGTGTGCCTTCAGGGACATCAACATGATGATGGTTGGGGACCCATCTGTTGCGAAATCTCAACTTCTGAGAGCAATCATGAATATTGCACCATTGGCTATATCAACTACAGGCCGTGGTTCTTCCGGTGTTGGGTTAACTGCTGCTGTGACGTCTGACCAAGAAACAGGTAAAAACACATTAAAAAGCCTTTTTCAACAATGCCTGGGAAAAGGTCTAAGTGCTCTTATGACATCAATTTTCCTTTTTTCTCATCAGGGGAAAGAAGACTAGAAGCTGGTGCTATGGTCCTCGCTGATAAAGGTATCGTCTGCATTGACGAGTTTGATAAGATGAACGATCAAGACCGAGTTGCTATTCACGAAGTTATGGAGCAACAGACTGTAACAATCGCCAAAGCTGGTATCCATGCATCACTAAATGCTAGATGCAGTGTGGTTGCAGCAGCAAATCCCATTTATGGAACCGTAAGTTTGCATAAAACTCTTCCTGGTCTGTTGATTCGATTGACTAGCAAGCATCCCTTGTTCTAATAATCTTCTCTTTGTGCCTCCAGTATGACAGATCATTGACTCCAACAAAGAACATTGGACTTCCAGACTCGTTGCTCTCTCGTTTTGATCTGCTGTTTATTGTGTTGGACCAAATGGATGCTGGTATTGATAGCATGATATCAGAACATGTCTTGCGCATGCACCGTTACCAAAACGATAGAGGTAGCCGACAATTCATATTTCTCCGATTTATTAAACATTTCATTCACATCAATGACTTAAGATATATCTGCCTTTTGAGGAAATTATAGGTGAGGCAGGGCCAGATGGGAACTTGCCGTATGGGAGAGAGGAAGATGGTGAAAGTGAAGTGTTTGTTAAGTATAACCGAATGCTGCATGGGAAGAAGAAGAAAAGAGGCCAAACAAATGAGAAAACTCTTACGATTAAGTTCCTGAAGAAGTACATTCACTATGCCAAGCATCGAATTCAGCCAGAGCTCACTGATGAAGTAACACTGAACTTCAGCATACAGATTTACCTATTTGATATCTGATAAAGTTTTTCCACTAAAATCTCTCTTTTGTTATTGAATTTTCAGGCATCTGAACGTATCGCAGAAGCATATGCAGATCTCAGAAATGCAGGTTCTGATACTAAGGTAAAAAAAATCATATCACAATGCTGAGTGTTGTGTTTTCGTCTTAAGAAACCTGTATTTGACATGACCATCCACATCTCTGTAGACTGGAGGTACGCTTCCGATAACAGCAAGAACTCTAGAGACAATCATCCGTCTTGCCACAGCACATGCCAAACTGAAGTTAAGCAGAAAGGTAACAAGCTCAAATATTCCGTTTTGTCTTCTTGGTCGTGAATAAATTGTTGTACTTTGTTACACTCTCAAAATCAATCATATCTTTGTTTTTAAAGGTTACTAAAGTCGACGCAGAGGCTGCCTTGAAGCTGATGAACTTTGCAATATATCACCAAGAACTGACAGAGATGGATGAACGTGAGCAAGAAGAACGTCAAAGGGAACAATCAGAACAAGAAAGAACACCAAGTCGTCACAGAGGCAATCAAGAGAATGCCTCCGCAAATGTCGAACGGTTAGCTAATTTCATTTCTTCCATTGAAGCCCATACCGCAGCTATCTTAATTGTAATACATTGTTTTTTTCTTTTGTTGCTTGTTCCCCTCAGTGAAACAGCAGAGCCAATGGACGTAGATGAACCTCCCGCAGAGCAATTTAGCGGCACAGTCTCTGCAGCAAGGATTGAGGCCTTTGAGCGAGTGTTTGGGCAGCACATGAGGGCAAACAGGCTCGACGACATCTCTATTGCAGATATAGAGACAGTAGTCAACAACAATGGAGTTGGAGCTTCTCATTACTCTGCAGATGAGATTATGGCTCTCTTAGAGGTACATCTCAAAATAAGAGACAGCGTCTCATTCTTTGTTTTTGTTGAAACAGTTTCCTCATCACTTACCTTAATGTGGGTTTATGCAGAAACTGCAAGATGATAACAAAGTGATGATCAGCGACGGAAAAGTTCATATCATTTGATCCATCATGAAGAAATGCACCCGATGAAGTTATTTCTTCATATTAGAACTCAAAGTAGTGTAGTACTGTGAGAAGAGAAGCTATTGGGGACCAAAGTATCTTTTCTTTTTAAATCATACTTTTTAATTTGTCTTTGCATCTATCATTTAAATTAAGAAACTCAAATATTTTGCTAGTCATGGTCGCTTTCTTCCTAAAGATCTTGTGTACTTGGACAATGCAACCTCTTCATTAAGTCCTTCAGCCTTGCATGATTATTTATTACCCCACAGAGAAATCAGTAAAGAGATATCGTACATAAAATCTTATAACTAGGGGTGGATACAAGCCGAGTACTTGGTGTTTTCGGTATATTTAGTACTCGGCTTGCCTTGTACGAGTATTCAAATTTTGGACTTGTATTTGGTTTGTTAAAAACGAGTACTTGCAGTTTCAAGTACTTGCGAAAAATTGATGGACTTGCAAGTTAATTGCCTTGTTTTATTACTTGTTATTAGTAAAAATTTAATAAATTACTTGATAACTATTGGTAAATTATTTGATAATTAATTAAAATTTAAAGGTAAATAAATATTATATATAAATAATATGTCATTATTTTCTGATTTTTAGTCATTCGTGAAATAGATTATATTAAGAAAGAAAGAAATTCCAAAATGTTTATATAAATATATCACTTATGTATGATTCCCTTATAAAAATTGAAATATAAAGGAGCTGTTTTACTATGATTTAGAAAATTGTATTTTTGTTCATTAACAAAAACGAATAATAAACCAAACAACGATGAATATTAATTTTATTTTATTATTTTGTATTTGTTTCTATTTAAATGCAGTTTAAATAGACTACTTGATACATGTCTTAGTCAAAATAAGTATTCGACTTTAAGAATCGTGTACTAACCAAGTACTGAACATGTGGTAAGTAACAAGTAATTGTGACCCCGCATAAAATACATAAATTTTAATTAATTAATAAAATATATATTAAGTATTTAATAAACGAAATAACATATGACAAGTAACAAATAAAGGATAACAAATAATAAACCAAGTAGTTAAAAATTAAAATGAACTTGATACTTGACTTGTACTTGCGAGTAATAAAATATGTTTACTTGTTACTCGACTTGATTAGAGCAAGTACTTGTTTTTTCAAACCAAACCGAGTCAAGTAGCGGGTACAAGCCGAGTATCAAGCATTTGTGCCCAGCCCTATTTATAACCAATGCGAAGAGACGATTCTTCATCCAAAAAAGGTAAATGATGTTATAACTGGCGTTCAATGGAATCTCCATTTCTTAAAATATCCAGTCTCTCATTGGAGATCAGCATGTCCGTTGTTGGTAAGGTCCCCCCAAACAACACCAATGTCTTCACCACCGGTTTCATCGATAATTTAAGAATCAGTAAACTTATTTTACTATAACTATTAAACTTATATTATTAATGGATAAATTGTATCAGAGAGATGTCGAGTAATTAACGAAAACTTAAAAAATAGAGGAAACAACAAAGAAAGAAGACAACATGCAATTAAATGGATTCCCTTCAATTTTCCATTCAATAAAACCTTACCATTCACAACAACACAAAAGCTAGAATACCCAAGTGAGGATTCAGAATAATTGCAGAAGCCAAAAGAAAACCCCAAATCCCACACAACATCTCTGTAAATAACTACTTACATGTTTCACATTTTAAGCGAAACGATTAAACTTCGTGGTTAGTTTGAGCAGACGTGGGAGGAGGAGGAGGAGGAAGCGGTTTGCCACGCCCCATTGTAAACCCTCTCGTCCCATCAGGCATTTTCGGACCGGGCGGAGGCTTTGAGACCTCCACCGGATGATGATGATGATTATTATAGTGATGATGGAACGATGATGAGTTTGATGGTGAGGTTCCATGTCCTGTGGCAAAATTACAAATTAAAAAAAAAGTGTGGGTCACAAAATTTCATTACCACTTTCCATTGTGGTACGAAGATGATTTTTACTCTAAAAAAAGTACCACTACTGTTGCTGCCTTGAAGATTCTGTCTTCTTCCCCGTCCTCGACCTCTGGCTTTGTTCCCATTTTTATCCCCCACATCCTGAAAATGGTTAAAAAATCAATCTGCCGTTAAAAAACAACCGTTTTGTTTCCTAGCTTAGTGGCACAACATAACTACGCACGTTAATAGAATCAATTTAACCAACTCCTAAACTATTCCAGACCGTAATCAATGTTTTAACAAATACATGAGAGATAGACCATGACTAATAAGATGGGAATTACATTATCAGCCAGATTATCAGAATGATGGTGATGCTGATGTTCATTTGCCTTTTTGTTCTCCTCACCTCCAGTTTGGTCACGCACTCGTCCTGTATTGTCCTTCTCTGGATCTACTTCCTTCCTAGCTGGTCTTCTCTGTGCATACTTAACCTAAGGTGAATAATCATTCAATTTTGTAAAAGCTATCGTTTGATTCCGTATGTATGATTCAGTTAAAGATTTTTTCAGGGATTACTTACTGCTTGTTCAAGAAGCTTAACTCGCAACCCATTTCTCCAGTCTTGCTCGTTATTCAATGTAGCTGCCTGTACCAATTAATAAAAGAAGAAAACGACACCCATTCTTTAAGAAAGGGCTAACTAGAATATCATACCAATCGTGTAACTTTTAATTGACGCTCACCGCTTTCTCAGCTGCCTCCACTGTTTCATATTCCACAAATGCATGTAACTATATCCAAAAGAAAGAAAAGCTCACTACTTACATGCATATAAATAAAAATAAAAGTTACTATGATTCCATATAAGCTCCATGAAGATCCTTACTCTGGTTCGGATGAATTTGTCCTTCTTAAAACCCTTCTCTGATTCTTCAGCAGCATTTGGATCACATATGGATACACTTTTAATGCTAGAGTTGGAACGAAAATTTTAGTCAGCAGTGTGTATAAAAGACATAACGAAGATGTAACAATTATATAATGGGAGAAAGAAGTAAATGAAAAGATAGATAAAGCTAAGCCCTACCTTCCAGCTTTACAAAATATAGCACGAATGTTCTCGTCTGAATGATCCTCCGGCAAATTTTCTACCAAAACAGTGAAAATCTATGGTACACAAGATCAGCAGCGAAGATAATCAGAAAGGAAGCAAATACAAAACACATGAGTTAGACCGAGAGAGAAGGTTCATGTTCTGAGGCAATTATAATACCTTTGGATCCCTGACCTCAGGAAGAGGACTCAGACGCTTCACCTTATTCCCCTCCGAGCTAACAACCTGCACGTTTGCCAGTTAGAAACCTCAAAATCCGTACGAGTTTCATCTGGTATTTAACTTTACTTCCCTATCGCTACATTACTCCTAGCCATTTCCGTGCACACAACTTGTAAATACAATGAAGAAGCTTACAAGAAATGACGACTCCTTCAAGGCTGCAACTATCAAATCATGGTCGCGTGTAAGCTTCTTCATTTTATGGAATGTAGCAATGGTAGATATGGGAACTGCATAGGAAAAAGAAGGCCATTGTTATGGCTCTTACAATTTTCAAACACAAATTATGATACATAAGTTAACGGAGTGACATTAAAACATTATTTCAATACAACGAGATTTCTATCAGCAATTTGAGTTTAGCCAACATCTATACTCATAGAGTCACCAAAGTTTGAGACAGAAAAGCCAAGAAGTATGTTTGCCTCAAGTACACATTCTAGTTCATCAGTTGCAATATCTCTACCCCAGAGTGTCTTTTTTTAGTCAACTCTTTATCAGAAATGGTCACAAAGAAATAGTCAACTGGGCGAATCCTAAAGGCTAATCACAAAAATCAAGGGGTTTATTGCTTGTTAATTTCAAAGTCAAAAGAGATGTATACTAACCAAAGCCTTTCTTGTTCTTCTTCATAGCATTCAAAAGAAACTTGTCAGTAGGCAAATTCTCGTCACTAAAGTAGTACTCAACCTGCAACCAAAAATTACAAAGAAGAAAAAAAACACTAAAACCAAACTCGAAAGCAATGTTTTTTTGATACTTTAAAGAAAACAAGAAAGAGCATAGACCACTTGCCTGTCTAATGATCTTCTGCTTCAACTCATCATTAGAAACAACAGCAACATCGGTCTCGACTTTATTATCATCATGATCGTGATCCTCGCCTATGTTTCTCTCGTGGTCTAAATCATCATCCGAGAAAACAACAACATCATCGGGAGATACAGCAACTGGTGAAGACTCGACTTCATGTAGCGTCGGCTGCGGTTGGGAAGTATCCGCGGTTGAGGCAACCGCGTCTTCAGCTGCTTGCGGTTTGACGGGAGGCGTTTCCATATTGCCGGAGAGAAGAAAGAGTTGGAAAAAATATTGTCCCGACCCTCTTTTTCTTTTTGCGTGTCGTCTCTCTTCCTCTTACCTCTCAGCCGACGCGACTTTTCGTTCTTCGGTTTTTATATGATGACGACTTTTTTTTTTTACGATCGGTCAAAGGTTAATTTCGTCATTTGCTTAAACGCCATCGTGTTGGCATGCTTCACCGAGGTGAACATAACGGGCTTCTCATGGGCTTTAATATAGCCAGGCCATTTAAGAGGTTTGTTTCTCTTCCCGAAATATATACTCTGTATACTAGGCTTTCTAGTTTCTTCTGGGAAGTTTTCTCATTAATTTTCATACTAGGTGATAACCGGGTGTCCATTGACTTCATTAATTTTGAAAACATGAAAGAATGAACAGTCTAATTTTTTTTTTTTTTTTTTTGAAAAAGGGCATAACAGTCTAATTTTTTCACCATTATTATAGAGTAGTTCTACGTTTTATCGTATAGCTATACGTGGGATTCAAAAAGGAAAAATTGTATATTGTTAAATATATATACTGTTGACATCAACTTATTTCCCTTGTGAAAGTAACTTTTACGTCAAAAGTTTGCTAAAATATGTGGGTAGCCACAAAGAAGTCTTCAAATGTTTATGTAAATTAGACATAAACCGTTCAGGTGGGAACATAAATGGTTTAATGTCCTTCTAGGCTTCTATGAAAACAATAGGTGCTTTGTTTATAAACTCCTATAAAGATCCCCACCAAATATGTAAAAGCATGTATGATCTTGTTTCGAAAGGTTTGATGGTTTGTGAAAGCATATATTATAAGTATTACTATTACATAACTGTTACACGAAAAATCCAGATGTATATCAGTAAAAATATTAAAATAATACTGGTACACTAAAAGCCCAAAAATATATGATAATTTTAGTTGAATTATTTTAGAAGATATACGGACAATAGATAGGTTGAATAACAGTGGTAATTCTTATAATAACACTAGTAGATAAAAAAAAAAACTCTAGTAGATAAAGGGTAAAAAATGTGTTGGATGAAGAGCATTGTGATATTGACACCTAAGCAAATAGCATGATTGTAAATATAATATAATTTAAAAGTTATTTTTTTAAATTGCTTTTCTTTTAATAATAAAAACTAGATCATAATCCGCCCGACTGGGCGGGTCTTTGTTTTTATGGTATATATAAATATTTTAAAAATTACAATCTTACGGTTCCAATTTTACTAAGTAATAGTATACTGTTTAAACATTGTATTTCATCACTGTATTGTGTAACAGGACGTCGGTAAAATGTTGTGACCCGTAAATATTTTAGCAATATTTTATAAAAAAAATTTTGACCAAATTTAGTGCAAAGTTATATACACTAAATAATTTAGTCAAATTTTTAAGTTCATTTTTAATGGAGAATTGGAAGGCTAGTATATTACTGTTAAAAACTTATAACAATAGTCAATATAAATTATATAAATAAAATATATATTATTCTTGATTTATTCTAAATACATTTAAAACACGAGTACATATATGTATAAATATTTTTCAAAAATAAAATAATATTAATGATAGAAAATCCAAAAACAATAATAATAGTACTTTGGGCCGCAGTAATTTTTAGTTTAATAATTAAGTCCATTAGATTTGTAAACTATTCTTGTTTCCAATCATCATAATTTTAAATACTTCCTATTCATGTTTCCAAACATTTAATTTTTTGTACTTCAGCTTTAATAATATAGATGATATTTTGTATTGAAATTTTGCAGGAACCATGCATTTACATATATTAATATTCAAATCAAATGAAGCGACCGTATTCTAGAAACCACAAGAACAATAACATGAAATGACCAATTATCTAGGGATTCTTTTTATATATTATGAAGAAGAAACTAATTGACTTATATTTATTAGCAATATATAAAGATAAAAGTCCATTCAACAAGGATAAACTTGAACTCACCTTCCTTTATCCATTGAAGTTGTTTACTAAACAACTACACTAAAAGCATATATATTAATGAACTTTAGAAGAGTCCACAACTTTATTTATTTATTTATTTATTTTTAATTTTTCGTTTGATTTTTAAAAAACAAACTGAGTCAATTGTGAGTCACTATGTGATATGGAGCCCACAAAACAGTGCTAATATCAATTTACATGAAAATATTTGCAAGAGATATATAGATTCACCAGAAATGTAGATCCCATAATTTTTATAATTTTTTTTTTTTTTGGAAAATGTGTGAACTTCCCTTAAAATTCACTAATGGACATGGTCTAATGTCACATATCTATATTATTTCCGCAAATTTAAATACTTACTAGAATGGAAGTCGAAAGTCCATGCTTGCGTTGCGTTAAATTAGGACTGGTTCTATAGCTAGCAAGTAAAGTTTAGTGAAAGAGAGCATCGTATATATATTTTTTTGCATTCTCATGCTCTTTGTAGATGTTGATGCTTCAGTAATGCACACAATAGCTTTGTAAGTTCTAGTTGTTTAAAGATGAAGCATATGTTGAAAAATGATGGATACTATATTTGTAAATGATGTGACTAAACGTTGGCTTCCATTGAACCCTAAAGAGTATGAAGACATGAGAGTGCAAGTAATCTTTAGAACACTCTATTGGAATGATGACTCGGAGATTAAAATTTCATCGTCTCTTATCAACCACTTACAAGGAATGTTGATCTATACACTAGCATATCATCAAAAAATTATACACATAATGATCAAATTATACGTGTTGACAGTGACCAGCTAAGAGTGATATGTTAAGTATAACACTTTTTTTTTTTTTTGGACAAATGGTATAACACTATATATTTGATTTTATATGTTAAACGAATCATGTAAGAAGTACTTTTTTATTTTGAAAGATATATGTGGACGAAAAAAATCTAAATGTTGGAATGCAATATTGCGATGATATTTGTATATAGTTTTCTGAAACTCCTAGTTGTTAACTAAATGAGGATCATTATAATGGTCTAAACATATTAACTAATATTTTTTAAAAATGCATACGAAGGAACAATAGTTATCAATTTTTCAAATATTATTATGTGAAATTCCTGGCTTCACTCTTGTATAGTATACTATATCTAGATTTATAGAAAGTGATGGTAAAATTGGTTCAAATAACTTCCATAATGAATGAAACACTGTAATTGGCCCATATAGTTTCGTCTTGCTTGCCTTGTACTGCGATTGGCTAAGTTATTTTTTGGTCCATCTTTGGTCCTCCACCAAATAAATGAGAACATTTATATTCCCTCTCCTCTCTTTCTACAATTTGTATGGAGTCTATGTCAAGTACAAATTCTTAATACTTTTGGCTGTAGCTGATAAATATTCTACATTGTTTGATCAAGATTGTTGTTGATAATATTATTATAATACACCCTCTGTTTTGAAATGTAAGATGTATTTATTTTTCATATTTCAATTGAATTTTAACTTTACAGAAAACTGTGCAACCAATTATAATTTGTGATCTATTTTGTAATTGGTTGAATAGTTATAAATTTATAGTTTAATTGATACATTCTAGATGGAAAAAAATTCTTGAACATGTGTGCTTAAGGCATCTCATTAAACACGATCAGATTATAACGTACACACATATTGTTTATTTTCAAGAATTAGAATATTTGATGTAACAACGCTAAAATGTCAGTAGCAATATTGATTATATATATTCCACATAATCAAGTACTATCAATGTATTCTGAAAGACTAGTTAGTCCGTACATCTTTTAAAAATTATAACATTTCTACGGATTCATAGTTTATATACTCGTTTAAAAAAATACTCGACAATTCCAAAGTGTTGTGCATAATGTGAAAACGTTTCAAAAAGGAATAACAATGCTTATTCCAATTCGTTGCGTAGATATGAGATATGAAGTACATATTCTGATCTGCAGTACTTTTTAAGCATTTTTTGAAAACCGAGTTTCTTAGAGAAATTAGTAAATTACAAACAAACAAAAGATAATATTGAGACTTCGGCTACTAGAAAGCCACTTTAATATTCTGCTAACGTCTCTACAATAAAAGGGGTTTCGAAAATCATTAGGGTAATAGGGTGTTACTGTTTTAGTCTTTAAATAGTGAAAGGCTACCCTCTCCCTAAAACTTAGGAATATATGTTCTTCGTGTTGGTTTCCGATTTAGTAAATTTAGTAAATGATCGAGTTGACTATATATATCCCAAATCTCCACTCAAGCATCTCACGTGAAAGTCACCAGAGACTTGGGGGCAAGAAAGCTATCATCACGAGCGGAAGAAAGTGATCCGGTCTCATAAGTCATAACAATTTGATTGCTATCATTAATCTAGAATTTACATAATAAGAGGGGCACAAATAGTTGGTGAATAACCAAGTGATAGGCAAATTCCATTGAGCTAAATGATCCTAATTTGAACACAACACTAAACATGTTTATACGACATAGATCTCTAATTCCTTTGCCAACAATCAGATATGTCTAACGCCGATGGACATATCCCCATGAAACTAATTGGTTGGACATAATTTTTGTATAAGGAAACAATATATAAACAATTTCGTATATGTTCCTTTATTGCACTAATACTAAAAATGAAACTCTCTCCCTTTTACTTTTGACTAGAAAGATAGATGTGAATCTTTACAGGATAGCCATAAGAATAGAATTTTAGGTTTATGATTAAAATCACTTCAATATAATTCATTCTTTTACAAAAAGCAGAACTCAGAACTCCAAGTGTAGCTTTGTATGATATGTTAATATCGATTTATAAAAGATTTGTTAATACTGTTTTATGGAGATTTTTTTAGCTAACTAAGTACATAAAACTCGAAGGAGTGACTGGTTAGACTTTAACTTTAGATTTATTGATGTATAACTAGTTTGTATAGTTTTGTTGTAGTTGTAAGAAGTAAATTAGAAAAAAAAATTATAACAGTATATTTTTTCTACAGCTTGCTAAA